TTATCGTTCTCAGTTTGTGCGACAATAGGCTGAGCCGTTTCTTTATAATTTGAAAAAAGTGATAAACTTTTCGTCCACATTTAAGCCCATACTGCCGAGTCGATTTTAAAAAATCAAAAACTGTTCGAAAGATATTAGTTGGGAATGATACTGATTAGTTTTCGGTGAAAATCAATCGAGTTTTGTAAATAAATGTTGAAAAATGTTTTTTTTTTTAATTTTTTATTTATTATTCAATAGACAATCAGAATACATCGTTTCTTAAGCCTATATGATGATGTTATATATGGCGTTTAGAGGTCTCCTCCATTGAAGAGATCCTCTGCTAGAATTAATCTATAGTTGCCTATATTGCAGGTCCCTTGGCCATTTCTTCTTGAGTCTTCTTGTTTGAACCATTTTGTTGATGATTTGTATTACAGCGTTCAAATGATCATCGATTTTGTTGTGATAAGAATAGCTCCGGGTCTTTATAATTTCATTTGCGGTTTTAATTTCCAGATCCCTGTGGATGGTCTCATTAGTTACATACCAAGGCGCATCTACCGTTGACCTTAATATTTTGCTCAGGGTACGCTGTATAATTTTTATGATTGATGTATTTGCACATCCCCATAATTTTATTCTGTAGCTCCACATTGGTACTAGTACGGTTTTGTATATTAATGTCTTGTTTGCGTATGACATTTTTGATTTTCTGCCAATAAGCCAATACAATTGTTTGAATTTTTTCATCGTTTGTTTGCTCTTTTGTTTGCTCTTTTATTTGATATGGAGACCCCATGTGAGTGTACGGTCAAGATATAGTCCTAAATAATTAATGCTGGCACTAGGAGGAATTTCAATGTTATTTATAAATACGGCCTCACAGTTTTGAGTTCTCGTTGTAAACGCGATTTGTTTTGATTTGCCTTCATTTATACTTATTTCCCATTCTTTGAGCCATTCTTCAAGTGCAAATAGATGTTCTTGTGAAAATAAATTTAAGCCGATTTTTATGGAACTTTTTTTTGGCGATATATATCATGGTCCTATAGAACTTACTGAAATATTACAGCCTTTCGACAAGTAGTTTAATTTTAAAAATTCATCAAAGTTTGAGAAAATGAGTAGTTTTTTTGGCGTTTGTTAAAATTAAAATTAGATTAGATTAAAATTAGTCTTAATGAACATACTAAACCATTAAAGTCCTACGGAAACTGGTACAATTATAAAAATTGTAGATTTGTAAAAATTTGCTTTTAGGAAACAGTCCGAGTTAACGTGTTCTTTCGTTTTCAATTATGTGTAATAAATCCACTTGAAATACTTTTAATCACTCATAAATTAATTTATTTTTATGATTAAATCCATTATTTACACATATCGGGAAGTTCATGTAACTTGCCTCAAGGCAAAATACCGATACCAACTAGGTTAATTATTGGTTTTTCTATCTATTCCTAATATTGCGTAAATTCTGTTAAAATAAAGTACTTCATATAGTTTTATTTTGACCTGAATAGGAGGAATGCATGAGTAGCATGTCTCCTGAGAAACGTGTTCGTCTCCTCGAACGTGCACTTCGTGAAGCGCAGCAGCAGCAGGCAATCGAGCAGCACATGTCTGCTGTAATGACGCACAAGCTTATGACTGCCGATGTTCAGCAGCAATATGGAGCAGAAGCCCGACAAGAAGGAATCCGGTCTCGGAGTTCCACGGCCGTTGTTTACGGAGATTCGACGCCTCGTAGTGCCGCCTGTGCGAGTACAAGCTGCAGTTCTTTACGTAGTGCAAAATCACTATTGGGCGGTAATAGCTACACTGTGATGCGCACTCTAACGCCGCCGACCGCAATTATCACATCTGTAAAAGCCGGCGAACAAGTTTGGCAAGAACCTAAGATAAGGCAGATCAGACCCAAAATCAAGTAAGAAAAAATAATGATATATCTTCTTATATATAAAAATGGAGCTCTCGATAAAATGATCCGCTAAAACTCGAAAACGGTTAAACCGATTTGGCCACACTCTGTCTTGAATAATTTGTGCTAATCAGTAGGTTGTCGGAAAGGTGAGATTTCAGAATCGCGTAGAAACTTTACATTTTTAATTTGAAACTTTTTGTAGAAGCGTAATTTAAATAAAACAATGGACGGTGGCTAATACTTGAAATGTCAAACGTTTTTGACAGAACAAGTTTGGCAAGAACTTAAGATAAGGCAAATCAGACCCAAAATCAAGTAAGGAAAAATAATGAACGTTTTTGATATATCTTCTCATATATAAAAATAGAGCTCTCGATAAAATGATCCGCTAAAACTCGAAAACAGCTAAACCGATTTGGCCAGTCTTTGTCTTGAAAAATTCGTGCTAATCAGTAGGTTGTCGGAACGGTGAGATATTATTTCAAAAGCGCGATGAAACTTTACATTTTTATTTTGAAAATTTTTGTAAAAGCGTAATTTAAATAAAACAATGGACGGTGACTAATACGTCAAATGTCAAACGTTTTCAACAGATGATGTTCAATTACGTTTAATAGGATGTTTTACGTAAATATTATTTATTGGCAAGAATTGTATATGGTGCTAATTTAAATTGTAGTAAGTAGTTTTGTTCGTAGTTATATTTATACACAAAAACGTTATTAAACGAATCGCAAGTGTCACTAGAAACTCAAAATATCAACTTTTTTGAAAAGTTAATATGAAAATGCACTCTTTTTGCACGGTGCTCTGAAAGATCTCATTTGTATAATTATATACTCATTGGTATTTATAAAACATTTTCTAGGTTATATTATTTTTTATTTATGTTATTTAAATTCAGAATCTAAATTTGGTATCTATCAAATGGACATTTTGTCGAATAACATTTTCCCAGTTATAATTTCTCAGAATTTATCGAAGAATAGATAGTAATATATGAAGGTCCGGAGTTAAAAAGGTACCATTGATGTGTCAAAAAACAGTAAAGTTAAGCATTATTTAACAACAATATTTGAAAGTAGAGGGAAAAAGATGTATAACCGGCTATAACCTTGGTTCTTATGACTTTGCTATCGGGAGATAAACGGTAATCTTTGAAAATCCATAATAAAACTATTTTCTTCGGTTTGTAGTTTTTAGCATCAGATAAAAATGTAATGATTTTGTAAAATACCTTTAAAATTGAAATAAGACATTAAACCTGTTTGCCACCTGGCCGTTCCAAGTTACTCCGCCTATAGGGTAAAAAGGTCTAGTTAACAAATTTTTGAAAGACAGCAAAAAAGCACATTTCTGCAATGATAAAGTAGCTGGCAGTTTTACTGAACGTAGTCAGATAATTGGTCGTTTGAAATGTGTTATTTGCTGTGATATAATTGGTTTGTTTTTTTTAATATAGCTTATATTTGCTCAAAGTCTAATTGGACCTTTGTGCCTCGCCCTGATATACATAAATACTTTTTATTAAATTTACTTTAATTCATCGAATGTTACTTAAAACTTTTCAAAAAGCAGGTAAAAGAAGAAATACTTAATTCATGTTCTATCTCTCCTCGCAGAAATTGGAAAATTTTGTATAAGCTCAGTAGTATTATTTATAATTACACACAAAATTTAGAATCCAAAAAGGATCTGAAAAACTTGAAACGTAATCAATAAGTCGAAAGACCAAAAAAGACTTGGATTGGATTATACTATGTTTTCTATAGAAAGTGTATAAAACTTCCAGTTTGATTGCATTGACAAAATATAGACAAACTAATGGGGTTTATAACATTCAAACAACATATCTTTATACACTTAAAGTATTGAATTTTTTTATTCTCTAGAAATTGTTTAGAATATACCTTACTTAGCAGAACAACGTTTGCCGGGTCAGCTAGTTATTAATATTTTTGATTCTCTAGAAATTGTTTAGAATATACCTTACATAGCAAAACAACATAGTTTGTCGGGTCAGCTAGTGTAAAATAAATATATTATTCCTCAAATGTGTAACCTTCAAACTTTATTTTAAGCGCACCCCGCACTGCAAAAGCTAGTCGTGCTGCGGGCAGCTACACGAATAATAGTATTTACGGAAAAAATTTATCCCATGCTGTACGTGAAGCCCGCACGTCCTGCTCCTCACTCGAAGCAGCCAGGAAAGCATCAAAAGAATCCATTCCTATTTTGCTGCCGCCACATTTGCGCAAGATACAAGCAAAACCAGCTTCCATTTCTACTTCAATGTCAGGAGCACGAGTAATCCCTATTTCAACGCCCAGGGGGGGTCGTGGGACAGGGGGAGCGGGAGCCCGCAGATCACAGACTAGTTGCACAAGTATTAGAGAAGTGCCATCTGTTACCAAGAAAGCGTAAGTAATTTATAAAAACTAGTTGGTATTGGTATTTTGCCTTGAGGCAAGTTACATGAACTTCCCGATTTGTGTAAATAATCGACTTAATCCATGATAGAATTAATTTTTGAGTGGTTAAACGTATCCGAAGTATATTTATAATACAGCACTGAAAACGAACGAACACGTTAACTCGGAGTATTTTCTAAAAGCAAATTTTCACAAATCAACAATTTTTATAATCGAACCAGTTTCCGTAGGACTTTAATGCTTTAGTTTGTTCATTAAGAGCAAGTGCTCTATCGTTATACCAAGTAAATCGTCTAATTTTAATTTTAACAAACGTCAAAAACACTAATCATTATTAGAGATGGGCTTATCATATCCGAAGCCGGATCGGTTAGAATTTGACTCCGCTTCAGAGAGGAGTTATATCCACTTAACAACTCCACAACTCCGACAACATTGAAACATAATACTTGACACAAATGTGTTCTCTAGTGTGTTGTTAACATATCTAAGGTTTTGTTAAGACTTTGGAAATAGTTTGCAAATAGTTCAAACATTTTTGTTCAATTTTATTATAATAATTGCTATTTTATGCATTTCAATGTGCATACAAATCTCAAATTGACAAAAAACTTGGGAATCAAAATCAATTTTGTAATTACTGAAGAAAAAATATAGAATTCTTTGAACATGTTTATTTTTATATGAAAATAATGCAGTGAACCTTATGTATGAAATAAGAACAAATCTTTGTGTATAATATTTTTCAAAAAATAATAATACCTCACATTCTTTTATTATTTCAACGATTCCAATTTTTGCAAAGTTTGACGAATTTTTAAAATTAATCGACTTATCGTAGGGCCGTAATATTTTAGTATGATCTGTAAGGCTATATTATCTACCGTAAAAAAAATAATAATAATCGTCCAAAAATTTTTTTTAACGCTTTATTACAAGAAAACGGACCGGCCAATCTTTACCAAAAACTAATCAGGTTCCTAACCAATATCTTTTGAACGGTTTTTGAATTTTCAAAATCGATTCAGAATTGCGGGCTAAAACGTGGACGAAATTTTTTTCACTTTTTTGCTATTTATAAAGAAACGGCTTGGCCCATCGTCGCACCGTCCTCATCGAGATACATCGAACGGCTTTTAAATTTTTGATATCGGTCCAGCCGTTTCTGAGAAAACGCCGACTTACGCCAAAAATCTATTCACACACACACATTTACTTTTTCCAAATTTGGTCTCATTCGATTCAGAATGGTTTGAAACGTCGAATAAACATAAAATTATCAAATCGGATTTTTTTATGAAAACATAAACTTCTCCTTAGCAAAGTTAATAATTTATTGTTGTGTAAATTTTCCTTGTCCTTACAGACCACATTACACTACCGAAAATAGTGTTGCAATAGGCCCAACTGAAGCAACTTCGTATTCTTCCACCACGTTCTTGGTCACACCTATTGCAAAGCATCAATTGTGTGGTGTGCAGCAGTCTCAGACTAGTTTCTCGAATATGCGCGAAGCAGACACTTCCTGCACGTCGCTGCGCCGGCGGAGATCATTGAGTGCACATAATATGGGGGTTGGGGCAAGTTTACACAATTCAAGCAATTCTTTGAGCAGAAGACGTGCCTCTAGCGGATCCGTAGGACGGAGCAGGAGACATTCCAGTGGATCCGTTAGGCGCACCAGGAGGATCACACCCAAAAAGTAAATAATACAGTAGAATCCGATTAGTATGACGCCGGATATATTGATAACCGCTTATTATGACGCAATCGCACTAGTAAGTTTGGTTTCCATATAAAATTCCTTAAAAAAACCGCTGTCTAGTCGGATATATTGACATCGCTTACATTGACATGTCGCTTATAATGACCCATTTTTGCAAAAAATTATGTCCAATTATAATGACCGACATGATTTTACATGATGTGGCCAAGTCTACGAAAACAATTGCTATGTCTTTTATGCACAATAGCACAAGGGACTATTTTTACAATAAAATTATGTAAAGAAATCAATCAAAAATTACTGATTACTTACATTAAAAAATCACATTTGTATGTTTATGTGTAGGGTAGACTAATTATTAATGATCCGCCACGGATATCTCGTAAACAAATAAATTTCGATTTTTTTTAACAAAAATATTTGATAGTAAAGGGCAAAAAATGTATAAATTCATAACCAGCCATCACCTTCATTCTTATTACTGCTATCAGAAGATAAGCAGCACATGAGTGGGATAAAAAAGACCTGCAGAACCTTTACTTTGGCAAAGGTGTAAGCAATAAAATAGTGAAGTTTAAAAAAAAGCAATTTTACAAGAGATTATTTAAATAAATTGTTATTCCGGCTCGTCTGATAAATCTTTCTGACCAATAGCAGATCAATGTGATATACTGTGTTATCTTTGTAACAAATGTACCCACAGAATTAATATTTTGCATTGGTTCAATAATGTAGCGTAAAATTCCTTTAAAATTTAATAGAAGAAATTGCATCTGTTTTCCCCCTGGTTGTCCCACTTTACCCCGTATGTGAAGTAAAATGGATCAGATACCTAATTTAAAAAAATAGTAAAAAAAATAATATTTATATAATTAGGAATTATGTGAATTTTTTTTTATACACAGTTCGATAAATGCTTGTTTGATGTGTGTTATGTGTTGCAAGGATGTTCATTGGGTTTAGATAGTATAATTACTGAAAATCAAATTGGACCTTTGTGCCCCGCTCTATACCCTGTCAATTTTATTTTATACTAGCTGACCCGGCAAACGTTGTTTTGCTAAGTAAGGTATATTCTAAACAGTTTCTAGAGAATCAAAATAATAATACTTTAAGTGTATAAGGAGTTGTTGTTTGAATGCTATATACAATGAGGTATTATCAAAACAATAACCCCATTAATTTGTCTATGTTTTGTCAATACAATCAAACTGGAAGCTTTCTATAGAAATCATGGTATAATCCAATCCAAGTCTTTTTTTGGTATTTAGACTTTTTTTTATCCTATAGCCGGGGTAACTTGGAACGGCCAAATGGCAAACAGGTTTAATGTATTATTTTAATTTTAAAGGTATTTTACAAAATAATTACATTTTTAACTAATGCTAAAAAAGTACCAACAGAAAAAAATACTTTTACTATGGATTTTCAAAGATGACCGTTTATCTCCCAATATCAAAGTCATAAGAATCAAGGTTATAGCTGGTTATACACCTTTTTCCCTTCACTTTCAAATAATGTTGTTAAACAATACGTTAGCTTTACTGGTTTTTGACACTTTGGTCGTGAACTTTTAACCACGAACCTTCATATATTACTAACCATTTTTCGATAAATTCTGGGAAATTATAACTGGGAATAAGTTATTTGACAAAATGTACATGTAAATGTAAATGTATGTAATGCTCTTCTTCAGTCCTTGCATTTGCAATATTTCGCATTCTCCTTGCATTAAGGCTTTGTTGGGAAAGATTCGATCGTCTTAGTCGCGGCATTATTAATTAAACTTCACTTCACCTTATATATATAGAACCAATAACTAATATTCATTCACTATATTTAACATGAGGTAGTACAGGTTAATTTCATTGAAAGAAACACCGAATAACAGTTGACAATCGAAGGTAAATGTCATGGATGAAATCATTGATAGTATCATAGATTGAATAAACTACATGGATAGTTTATAAATAATTAATTCTGAATTAGAATGAAAAACGAAAGTTTTTCATATGTTTCTCCTTGCTCTAAACTTCCTCCCTGCCACCAAAAGATTACTAAGCCACAGCAACGCGTGGCCGGGCTAGCTAGTATATATATATATATATATATATATATATATATATAATGAATTAGAATGAAAAACGGGATAATATCTTATGCGTTTCTCCTGGCTCTGAACTACCTCCTTGCCAATTTTCATCTAAATCGGTTCAGCCGTTCGTGAGTTAAAGTGTTGCTACTTAAGCGATCCTCTTTATATATATAGATTAAATTTTAATATGTGTCATTTTGATTTTAATTAAAATGCATGTATAGGCTTTTCTTTTAAATTATTGAAACATGTAACATATTTACATATTAAAAAGTTTTTCTTCAGTATGTTTTGTATTTCGGCGTCCCTTCGATGTCATACTAAGCGGATTCTACTGTACAATAAAGAAATTGATTCTTATGCCTTAGTAGTTTGTATTCGAGCAGGTCTCGTAGCAGCTTCTCTTCAATACGTGGTCGTCGCATGGGGTCAGGATCGTGCTGCGCGCGTCCTGTAAATGTATCCTGTGCTAGGCGAGTTTGCAATTCTGCAGGTGGCAGTACTATAAATTCTCATAGAGATGCGCCTACTTCATGCACGTCCATAATTTCATGTCCAAGTATGGTGATGCGTCCGGTGTCTGCTAGTAGGATGACTCCTACCGCATATGTTATTCCATGGTTAGTAAATTAAGACTAGTTGGTATTGGTATTTAGCCTTGAGGCAAGTTACATGAACTTCCCGATATGTGTAAATAATCGACTTAATCAAATAAAAATAAATTAATTTATGAGTGGATTTATTACACATAATTGAAAACGAACGAACACGTTAACTCGGAGTATTTTCAAAAAGCAACTTTTCAAAAATCAACAATTATTATATTTGAACCAGTTTCCGTAGGATTTTAATGGTTTAGTATGTTTATTAAGACCAAGTACTATATTGTTATACCAAGTAAATCGTCTAATTTTAATTTTAGCTAACGTCAAAAAAACTACTCATTTTCTCAAACTTTGATGAATTTTTAAAATTAAACTACTTGTCGTAAGGCCGTAATATTACAGTAAGTTCTATAAGACCATGATATATATCGCTAAAAAAATCCATAAAAATCGGCTTAAATTTTTTTTTCAACAGTTAATTACAAGAAAACGGCTCGGTAGATTTTCACCTAAAACTAATCAGTACCATTCCCAACTAATGCCTTTCGAACAGTTTTTGATTTTGTAAAATCGGTTCGGTAGGATGAGCTTAAATGTGGACAAAAAGTTTAACACTTTTTTTCAAATTATAAAGAAACGGCTTCGCAGATCGTCGCACAAAACTGACAAACGATAGTCCTCATCGAAATACATCAAATGGCTTTTAAATTTCTGAAATCGGTTCAAGCGTTTTAGAGAAAACGTCGATAAAAAGTCTAATTTTGACAAATGGCAAGAAAACGATATCAATTTTTGCAAACTTTGACGAATTTTCAAAGTTAAACCAATTGTCGTAGGGCCGTAATATACTACCGTTAAAAAATAATAATAAAAAACATCGAACAAAAATTTTTTAACACTTTATTACAAGAAAACGGTACGGCCGATCTCTACCAAAAACTAATCAGCACAATTCCCAACCAATATCTTTCGAACTGTTTTTCAATTTTCATAATCGGTTCAGAATTGCGGGCTAAAACGTAGACGAAAATTTTTTCTTTTTTCTGCTATTTATAAAGAACGGCCGATCGTCCCACAAGACTGACAAACGATAGTCCTCATCGAGACACATCGAATGGCTTTTAAATTTTTGAAATCGGCCCAGCCGTTTTCGAGAAAACGTCGATTTACGGCAAAAAATCTGTTCACATTCATACACACACACACATACTTTTTCCAAATTGGTCTCATTCAATTCAGAATGGCTTGAAACGTCGAGAAAACATAAAATTAGCAAATCGGACTTTTTTATGAAAACATAAACTTCTCCTTCGGGAAGTTAATAATTGTAATTTTTACCGTCAAAATGTCGACTTCGTTTTACGACAAAATAAATAATTTTCAAATTAAAATTCGTAGTAGACCAATGCCTCATCATCATACCGTACGTCCAGCAGTATGTTATCCGTCGAGGCCCGTTTGCTACACAAGACCTGTTTGCTATCCTAGCAGACCTTGTATACCTAGATGCTATCCGAGACCTTTGACTCCGATAGGTCCTGCAATTCCTACAGGAACTAGAACGCCGAAGATAATAAGGTTCGACCCAAAATAATTATTATATCATTTTTTATCAGATTCATTCCAATGATGCTGGGAACGTATATATAATGTGCCGATCTATAATATAAAAATGAATCGTAAAATGTGTTGGTAAGCGCATAACTCAACAACGCCTAGACCAATTTGGCCATTCTTTTATTAAAATGTTCGTTGATGTCCAAGGTTGGTTCTTACGGCGAGACAAAATCGAATAATTGCCGGGAAAATCCTAAAAACAGCCTTTTTCTTTTTCTCATACAAACGTTTTCGAACTAAAACGTAGAATCAATTTGAGCTTTATAGCTATTGTATAAAGTTCATATTAAATCACAAAAGCACTCACTGTAAACTCCTTTTAAACGATTATTCGGATTTTGATAAATCTTTCTGAAGTTTGTTAAGGAAATGTTCTAGGATGTATGTGATTATAAAGTACTAGGATGTCTATGCAATATTGTAGAAATAAATGGAAAAAATTTGTAAAAACGACATGTTATTGTGTGCATTGAAAACAAATGAAAACTGTCATCTGCCAAAAATTTCAATTTACTTATGAACCTAGACAATATTAGAATATGTATAATAAATTTATGATTATGAATAAGAAAAATGAAATGTCTACATTATTATTGCCAAAAAGCAGCTCATATGTGCTAGAAATTGAAATAATATAAAATACAGTATATGCATGGCAGATTGAATGATACACATAAGAACAGGATATGACAAATTAATTCACTTAAAATATGAAATTAAGTATTAATCAGGGCAGGTCCTACATTTAATGCGATGCATGCGAAAACTACGAGCGCACGCCTTAGGGGGCGCCAACACAAGATTCGGATATTAAATTTTCAATATAGATTTTTTTCAATATATAATTTCTTTGCATCATTTACTAATCTTTCCACAATATTTTTAAATTCTTAAAAATTCACCTTATAACAACAAAGGGGAAAGTAAAGATAAATACATACAATATCGGCCCTCACGATATCGATTAGTAGAAGTGTAAGATGCAATTTTGGATATTTTAAATAATAAAATTAAATTATTTAATCCAACATGAATTACCAGTATTATGTTATGGTTACGGTTATGTTTACACCGTTTTAAGAATTCAATTTACAATATAGTGTGGGATTTGAGACTCATCATTTTTTTAAAGCATTCTACATTTAACATCGCTCATATTATAAATGTACATGCATTTTGGCGTGAAGAGTATTTAAAAACAATAATTATTATTTTTAGGTAAACCTTGAATATTAGTATAGGATATTAAAAAATTGTAGACGCGGTACAGGACAAAGTTTGTCGGTCATAATATATCATCTAATATTTATTTTCCTCCTCCAGACCAAAGAAGCGACCAAGCTGTTCCTTTACAAACGTGTGTGAAGCGGTGACGAGCTGCAGCAGCCTTTCCGGCTGCTGTTGGCGGGATGGTTGCGGGCAGGTGGGCTGCATCTTTGCAAATCAACATCACAATGAGCATTCGCCTGCTTCTACTTCACCAACCGGCACGAATACAAGTCCATTCTCCGCCAACGTGTGAGTCGCCGCCAGTTCATGTCGATTCAAGGCATGAGTATCCGTGCGCGAAGAAAGCAAAATAAAAGCGCATGTAAACTAAGTAATAATCTTGATATTAATATTTTATTTTGCATTTGCATAACGCAATTCTTTTGCAAAGTCCCTTTAAAATGAAAGTAAGACATTAAATCGTGCCCCATGGCCGTCCAATTTACCGCGCCTATGGATTAAAAAGGACCAGGTGACAAATTTTTGTAAAACAGTAGAAGAAATCACATTTCTACAATGTTGATTTAGCTGAAAGTTCTACTGAACTCTGTTTTCACGACATAATGCTCAAAATCAAACTTGACCTATGTGCCCAACCCTACCCTATTATGTTTTATATAATTAGCAAACAATTTGTGGAATTAAAAAAAGGATCAATCATAATTCAGAAAATAACTTTTTAGTCGTGAAATATAAAAGATATTTAAAAAAGCTTTCTAAAATTTTCTATTCATATTCATATTCATGGTGTCATCACTTAGAAAATATAATTTATTTTTTTTTTAATTATATTTATTATATAATATATTTTTTTTAAATTTATCGCGTAAGAACAAAAATCAACATTTTAATTAATAACAACACCAAAACAGCTCCATAATTACAAAAAAACACATTATCATCCGAAATATTTTCACCAAGTGAAATTTAATTCTGAGGAGTAAGTTTTTAAAAAACATTTTTTAATTTCCCGTAGAGAACTTTTTTAACTTCAACCTTAAAAAAATGGATGTACATATGTGTATGTGTGTATTTAAGTGTGCGCGCGTGATTGTGTGCGGATACAAATTTTCGTCGACGATTTCGGGAGCACGGATCAACCGATTTGAATAAATAAAAAAACATTCGATTCGTATTGATGAGGATTGCTGATTAGTTTTTTGTATATATTTTATAGAAATTCTAATAATGTGTACACATTTTGTGTACATTTTTCTGGATTTTGTACCAAGATTTTTAATTTCGAAGTTAATTTATATGGTTCAAACAATTTTCGACAGTTTAGAATAACCTATATCGCGAGGCGTTTTTGAAAAAGAGGCACATCTTGCCGTTCCAGTGGTATGGAGCGCAAAGGGTGTAAAATTGTCATGCAGTGTTTTAGAGAACGGATCATCCGATTAGATTAATTCAAAAAACCTTTTGCTGGTAGACGGTGTGCAACAAATGCTTTCACAAAAAAATAGTACTTTTGAATATTTTCAAAAAAAAAAAAATTCAAATTTTGCGAAATTATCATTTTCATCATTTTCAAAGAATCTAATTTTTGAAAGATTTCAAATAATATCAAAATTTAAAAAAAATCGATCTCACAAAAATTGAAAATATTTCGAAATTTAAAAAAAAAATCGAATATTTTTAAAGATTTTCAAATTCACAGAAAATTAAAAAAAAACGATGTTTTTCAAAAATTTAAAAAAATTTCAAGATCAAAATTTTAAAGTTTTGAAAAAATTTAGTCCTCGGTATGAGAAGTTCCAACAATTGCCTTAAGGCACGATGCCATACACCACTAGTTTTGTTTTTATTTATAAATTTTTCCTCTAGGCTGTTGCGTCTTGCACAGCTGTCCAGCAGAAGCAAAAAGATGAACGCACCTCATGCACATCTTTAGCTAAACGTTGCGGTTTAACATTAGAATGTGCAAAGCATTGTGTAACATGGCGGTAAAACAATCGCAGGATAAGCCATGTAGAATGCGTTCGGCTCCGCCATCGCCTTGCTTGCCGACTAGCCCTACATTCACAATATGTGGAAAAACATT